TTATTTATATAGCACATGTAAATAACACAAGGTTAACAAAGTATCAGCATCAGATAAAAGTAACAAATATACTGCAGGCCTGCCAGGTTTATGTATGTGTCCGAATACACAATACAATACATAGTTCCCACAGACCAATGAATGTCACATGACCTCCTCGGAGACGCCATCTTTGATGGCACGCTGCTGTGTTTGTGCATTCCATTAAACAGAAGAATGAGAATAAATGTAGATATTCAAACGCAAATTGGAAAAAAAGGGCAACTTTTGAGCAAATAATTGTATATTAATACAATGGCACCACAGTTTAACGTGCTACGGACATGTTTTACATATTTGATCAAATTATGCAGCAAAAATTAACAAGCAATGCAAACATTTCTCAAAAACTTTAGATTTAATACCAGTTGGAGCTCCATTTAATTATTTTAATTATATTAACAATTAATTTAATTAATGGCTAATGCCACACGGACACTCTGGATTGCTGTTATTGTTTATTTCCGCGTTTTTGACCGTATGTTTTGGTGAATGGTGGGCAACTGATTTTTCCAGGCGTAAAGAGCAGTTTATTTTATGACACAGATCTTTTTACAGAAGCAATGCTGTTTGTGAACATTGTTTTAGCCCACCATAGAACTATTATTATCTATTTAATACATTTACGTTGCCCTCGAGAGCCTCGGACGCGACACCGATCCTCCTCATAATAAAGTAATCTAAATAATGAAACTCTCAAGTTACCAGATATCAGCATACACAAGTTAGTACTGAGTAAATTACGTCTGTCAACACATTATAAGATACGATACGCACCTGACACAAAGTGCTCCAAGCATATTCTTGCGTGTTTTGAGGGAGTTTCTTGCCTGTTTATCTTCGCAAGCCATAACCTCCGTGGTTGTTCTGACAAAAGCTTAGTCTTCTCACATTCATGAAGTCTAATGATGGGTATACTGTAAAATCCAAGTTTAACGGAACCTCCGGCACGATTTGAACATCCATTGACCCAGCAGGAGATGACCATTTTCAACTTTATCACGACATTAACACGTTTCAGCTTCTTTTTCTATTGTTTTGCCCACAGCATGCCAACACAAATGGCACCGGGTCGGCAAATCCCCGTATGTAGTGACGTCATGTGGGAACTATGTATAGTCCTAAAGCACATCAGTAGTTATCTCAGAGGACTTAACAAAACTGTTGAAATCTCCAACACACAGCAGAGAATCAAAATGTTCAAACACAAAATATGTAGAACACAAGTATTGGTCCATAGACCAATGTCCATTAATGTTGAAACATTTGCATAAATGTTGTAGCATGTTGGAGTGTCCTGGATCATCACCACAGTCCTTCTTGGCCACAGTCAGACCCATCTATAGCGGCATGCAGGGCTGGACTGGCCATCGGGCATACCGGGCAATGCCCGAAGGGCCGATGCCCATATTTGGGCCGGTCTGTCTGCTTCATACAAAAAACATGTTTGTGAAAAATGTTTGAGGGGGGGCGCGCATGTCCGCGGCCAACTGCTGTATGTACTCGAACGGGATTCCGCCACCTCAGCGGCCGCAGTGTTCCGAGACAGCTGCGGACGCTTTGTAATGAGCGGTTCAAGCATCCAGCGGCTCTGAGCTGGACGCGGGAACCACGAGAACCGCTCACAACACAGCACGGTGAGCGCGTAGCCTCAACGTGACCATATACCCAAGACCATAAACGCGCACAGGACCATGCATTTCTTTGTGTAATCTGTGCACCCAATAAATACACCGCTGCAGGAAACAGTCCGCGTCTCCCCTCTCCTCTCGAAGAGCGACTAAATTAAAGCTCAGGTACCTACATTTTCCATTGCATTAAAAGTTAATATTTGAGCCCATGTAGTAAAATGTTGTGAACAAATCAAACAGATTTAGTGACAGACAATGGCTGACAATATGCATTTCAGACTTTTTTGACCAATTCTCATCCCTGTAACAAACAATAGTGTTGTCTGTGTCCACCTCCTTCACTCTGAGACATGTTTATTACTCTCTTGTAATGTAGACTATTGCACTGTATTTCAATTGTTGAAACTGCACATATCCTGATCCTCTAGTATTTTCTTCCATGCTGTATAAACCAGGGGTCGGCAACCTGCGGCTGGAGTCTTTTAAAAAATGTCTGAAATGGAGTGGGAGGGCTATATTTTATTTCTAGTTTGAATGTGGTTTCTGTAGGATGAAAAACATTCTTAACGTTTTTAAATGCTGCAAAAATGTGCGTAAGTAATATTCAATTTCGACATTTCTGTCAACGTAGTGCGTCATATCCTGTGAAGCGGCCCGCGTTAGGCAGCTGCTGCTGTAAACAAACCGGCATGTGCCATGGATCCCAAAGCTAAAAAGAGAAAGAGTCGATAATAAGTCTGTACTAAGAATAAGTATGAACATTTGCTTTCAGTCAATGAGGAAGGACTGCTTCATGTTTGTATTGAGAAGCTTTGTTACAACACGAGGAACAATGATGCGCTAAACACCGTTCACGGTGATCACGTGAAGGATTCATTCATCGCAAATTCAGAGCACCTATTTTCAAACTTCAAATACCTTCGCAAAAACGGTGAAAGAAAAGGCCATTAAGGACATTCAGCTCCAGCAAACTTCAGCCTGTGATGTGAACTCTGAGCCAAAAAGCAGATTTATTTACTGTATTTCTACAATTGCATGAAGACAAAAAATGGAAGTTAAAGTTAAACCAGAGTCGTCACGTGGTGCGTCATTCTCTCCAGGAGACGCTGCAGTGAAAATACACATTTGATAATCATGAATGCTTATTATGCATTTGTAGCCTTTACTTTGTCATTTAGATATTAAGCTAATACAGCTGCAGCCTGTGTTACCTTCATATAAGCCTTATACAAGGCTGTTTTTTTTTTGCGGCTCCAGACAGATATTGTTTTTGGCTCGTTGAACCTTTTGAGTTGCAGACGCCTGGTATAAACAAACTGTAAAAAACGTGAAAAAACATGCCTGGGCCGCCAAGAAGGCAAAAATGCCCGGGCCGTTTTTTTGTCCCAGTCCAGCCCTGGCGGCATGGATAAACTAGGACAAACCAGGACTTTGCACTCATCAAAGCATGATTTTTGTGTTACTGAACTGCTGCATGCTTTATACAGCTCATGTAACAACCCTTTATCGACTGCAAGATCAATACAGGACGGAGATTAGACAAAGTGTTCTCAGTCAGATACATTCTTCACTTCTTTAGCTCGATTGCGCGGATTGGACAGAGATGGATTTTATTGGACAAGGAGGACACCTGCTGTTCAGCATCAGTATTGCCCTGAAGAGTGCGCTCAATAAACCACACCATGTGAAGTCTACTGTAGAGGAGACAGGTCATTACTTTCTGCATTTACCATGAACTTTAGTTTGTAGTAACCTGGTGTTGTTTTGTTTTATGACAGACATTTTCTGAATTATTCTGACCTTATATTGTCTTCAAACATGCATTTAAAAAAAAATCTTTTTTTTACATTGAATTGAGGGCTGATCAGTGATACGGTTTCTTTTGTTAATACCAATTTCATTTGAGTCTGAAATAATAATAACAATAGCACTAAGCTGTGGTGAGCTAGTTACATGGTTTATATTACATAGTTATTCTTCATGGTTATAAAGTTAAAGCTTTAAAACAACTCAACATTATGATATCCATGTCACAACTTCTCGATACGGCATCTCATTTCGACCACCATACGTCGACTACAATGTTCCAATATAGAATTCTGAGGTGATATTTTGGCGGTAAAGATTTTAGAAAATCCATACCACTACAATATAAAAAAAGTGTGAATAAAACTGAATAAAAAGCAAATTCACAATTTGTACACAAGTTGAAGTACATGTAGTTTATTAAAGTTGTATTGTCGCCGTGTAGGTTAAGTTGCATTATGAAAGAACAGTCCCAGATAGAAAAAAACAGCATGATCATAGTTATGTAGTGCAGATAATCTCAATATTCTTTCATTAAAACATGTTAAACTTTGTTGACTGATGCATCCTTTCCAGAGGCCACTCAATTCCATCAAGGACACCTCTCATTTGCAATGCAAGCACAAAGGGTGTGGCAAGATCACAGCAACGTCTACACCCACATGAATTGTCTCCAGTAGAACTCAACTAATTAAAAGAGCTACGTGTAGAAACTAAAGCAATTAAAATGCATTTTCAACAAGGCCTCAATGAGAAACTAAGGCAAATGCAGTGGCACACAGAATCACACATGCCATATCTAATTACCCCCCCATTAATGTTTTTGATTACAAAAGTGCATGTGTTATGTAAATGACATTCATTTAATTAAATATGTTTTAATCCTTAAATATGTGATGTACCAGCTTTTGTAAATAGTTCACATCTTTAATACAAATTTGTGGGTTGATGTATTTTTAAATGTATTATAAATATCCTGTCAAACGCTATAGAATAATCTATCGTCCTGTCATTGGAGTGCTTTTAATTTTCCAGTGTTTTCCTTTGTGAATATTGTGAACACCATCATCAGTTACTGCAGCGTCATAGCAACTAATCCTGTAAAACCAGTCGGACTGTGCGTGCATGTGTTTGTGTGGCATGAATCACAGTGACAAGACAATAAGGCATGGAAAAAAATGAGACAAGTCAAAGGAAATCCCCAAATAACATAGATACTACATTTTCAAACTACACTAATGATATGGTATAAAATTGAGAGAAATATGACTTTAAAATGAATAGATCTGCCACCTCATGATCAAGATGCGTAGCTTAATTAGTACATGGCCTTCCGAACGGTCTTGGTAGTGATGGACCAGGTTAGTAAGGCCATCACCCTGCTCAAGTTAAATGGTCATTTTGGTTTAGATGAGGTAATATACAGATTTAGGCTTGAACAAACAAAATCCGAACAGAAGCATTTACAAGTTTAAACATGTTCTATAATCCTATGTAAAACTCTTAGTGTATGCATAAAACAATTTAGGTCTTCTTCTTGAGCTCTTCAAACCTTCGTGTCAAATCATCAAAATCAATGTCGTCTGAGGAAGTTGTTTTTCCACCAAACGAAGATGTGGGGAGTGTGTCTGGAACCGAAGGCAGCTCTGGCAAAGCATTGCTGTCAAATCCATGAGGAAAAGGACCAGAGGCTACCAGAAAACAGCATAAAATTACAAGTGGGACACGCCATTGCCATACACCAATCTTAAACCAAGCATCTTGACTTACCGACAGCCTGCGAAGGGGCAGAGGAATTATCAGTTAGGTCATCAATCTAAAAAATAAAATAAAAAGGTCAATGGGGCAGTTGTCATACTTTTCTCAAACATTTTCTCAAGACACACATGAGAAACCTACTGAATGTATCACTAGTCAAACACATTATATGTACAGTGAATGATAAAATACAAATCTACGCTATAGAAGACAGTAGTGCTTTAGTTAGTAAATAATCATGCCATTTACTTTTTACAACAATACATTTACTGGAAAATGTTCAATGTAATGTTAGTTATTAGTACAAAAGGTTCAGATGACAGGTAAAGCACCAATAAACTGTTCTTCCCTGAATAGTGCCCTGTCCGTCTGTCCAGCTGTAGGAACAAGGAGGGGGCATGGGGATCATGCGGTCACTTACGGACTCGTATGTGGGGGGACAAGTGGGCAACTGTGGAGGCTGCCCCCCTCCCATGGGAGACTGGAAGTTGTTGTAAGTCCCGACGGAAGGATTATATGGTTGCTAGAAGAAAAGAAAGCCATAAAAGTACAGTCGAATGTTCAGCCGATGGAGAATAGACACGCTTTAGTTTTCACTTACTGCTCCTTTAGGTGTGGGATAGTTGAAGGCGGTTGGCATGGGCATGGACATGGGCATTGGGGCCATAGGCATTGGAGCCATAGGAGCAGTGAAGCCACCACCACCGCCTCCGCCTCCCCCCTTCCTGTCATGGTTCACGTCGATCAGATCAGCCTCTTCCCCTGGACACACCTCTGGCTGTTGAGGGACACACATTCATTAAAACATGTATGCCTTCTTTGCGGAGAATTTGTCTGAATACTCACAAGCACCATGGCATCAGGCTCATACGGCACATTATAGTTCTTTGCGATCTCTATCAGGTAACGCTCCACCAGGATTTTAGGAGGAGCCTCAACACTCATTTTGTGCATCAACTGGAGACATAGATTTATAGTAAAGTAATAAGGCCTCAGTAAAATAACATAACAAAAACCACAGCTCACCCTTTCATTGACAGTTCCAATCTGGTTTGTCTTGCACAGCTTCCCATACTCCTTACTATACTTTGCACACAGCTGATCGGCAACCTGGCAAAACATACACAATATAGAAATCGATAGATATATTTCTATCTATCTATATCTAAAAATTATGATTGTTAATGAAAGGAAGTGGTCATACCGTTTTTAGCTCAGCCACTTCACACTGAAGACGAGGGGCTGCCCAGATAAGAGTAGATACTGCTTCTTGTAAACCTGGATCCAGCTCTCTGAAAATGTCAAACCACATTATAAGAGGCAAAAGCCAGGATCCTCTCAGACCCTCCCCAAATGAAGAAAAAAAACCAAAACAATATCACATCCATATCTAATTTTAAACAAGAAAATGAGACAAAAATGAGGGATAGGGTTAGGAATAACTCTGATCAAAACAAACAGGACACTAGGACAATACATGCATGCAGAACTCACTTCATGGATTGAATGAGGCCGTATCGTCCCAGTAGCAGGTCGCAGTGCAGCTCCAGGATCTCCATCGCCTCCACCAGATAGTCTTCTCTGATGATCTGTTCCACTCGGATTCGTGCCCGCTCATCTTTACCCGCAGCGAGGTAATCAGCAATTTCCTTTCGTGCCTTCTGTGCAAGTTCGGCTTTATTGATTGATTAAAAACAGAAGAATCGGGGTTATGTTATACAGATGATTAAACTAAGAAGAAACTTGAGTTTATTGGTTGACAAAAGATACCTACTTTTCTTTTTTTCCAGAAGTTTCAGTCTGCTAATAGCAAGCTGTAGATTGATTTTAAGCCTGTTAGCTTTGAACCCTCCACCAAACATGTTATGAGCCTACCTGTAAACAGTAGAGAAATGTTAAAAACTGCACATTCGCAACCCAGCATGACACACCCGATCATGTGAGCATGCCACCCCCCTACCACATAGCATCGCGACAAGTCTCATTTCAGAAGTTATATACACAGTAGTATTAAACAAAATTAAACATAATATCTGGAACGGTGTGTATTTGGAGAGAGCTAAGACAACAAAGACAAGATGTGTAAATAAAGTCAAATCCAACGTGAGTAGGGGAGATTAAGAAAGCTGGATACAACCCATAACAAACAGCACCCTCAAAATATCTTTATAAACCATCATCTCCCGACTTATCCAATACTACTTTGTTAACAATCTGAACTAAATGACGTTTGCTTTGTTCAACTCCTTCTGTCATCGTTAGCTTCTTAGCTTTACAAGGCTAGCAAGAGAACAACTGACACAAACTTGACAAACAAACAGAAAATATATACACACCAATAAAATACTAAACTATGGGTTAAACACAAGACTCAAAAGCACAGACACTAACCAGGAGTTACAGCGCAAATGTGTCGAACACTTTCAGCGGTTTCGGTGTTTGCTTGTCGCGGAGTTCACTTCCGTGTTATGTGCCGTGTGGGTGACGTCATGGGAATGTACCCAAGTGGGCGGAGCGAAGTGTTGGAACATTATTATTATAATAAACAAAATCATTGCACTAATAAAGCATGCCTACACTGAAACTCGATGGCTCCATATTGCGATACATCCATGAAATTTCTACTTTTGAAACAGAAACCAGTGGATCACTTCTGAAGCTAGAGCAACTCTACAATAATTCGAGTTAAAATGGAAGTTTCCTGGTTTAACAAAACAATATAATACAGTCTATGAATAAAACTTAAAAACTGAGACAGAAACATACTTTACCACTCATTATTTGCCTTTCACACAGTTTGCTTGAAATGGCCCACTACAGTGATTAAAAGTAGGAGAAAAAAACTACCCTAATAACTTGACCAGTCATGGGTCATTTAATCCATTTCAGACCCTAATTTAGGGTACTTCTCTTATACTTGCAATCACTGTGGCGTTGAGAAAAATTATGTGTTTGCCCTCTGTCTAAACACAAGCATATATATGTATATATATATATATATATATATCCATATGTCAATAAAAAAAAAAAAAGGTTCCATTAATGTGTATGGTGTCGTCACACTCGATATTGTGATACTTTCTTACGCGATCGATTATCGATATGCTTTTGTAAGTATCGTTTTTAAAGATGCTACATTACGCATCTCCAATATGCCAATATGTGGTGCATTTGAATCCACAGTTGAGAATTAGGAAAATAACACTTTTAACCATTTCATGTTTATTCAGATTGATTTGCAAAAAAGATTTCTATAACAGTATATTTCTGATTATTCTTCCGTTATTCTCCTGGGGGACTTCAACGCCCATGTGGGAAACGCCAGTGACACTTGGAGAGGGGTGATCGGGAAGAGCGGCCCCCCTGATCTGAACCCGAGCGGTGTTCAGTTGTTGGACTTCTGTGCCAGTCACAGTTTGTCCATCACGAACACCATGTTTGAGCACAAGGGTGTCCGACAGTGCACGTGGCACCAGGACACCCTAGGCCGGAGGTCGATGATCGACTTTGTTGTCGTATCATATGACCTTCGACCGCGTGTCTCGGACACTCGGGTAAAGAGAGGGGCGGAGCTGTCAACCGATCATCACCTGGTCGTGAGTTGGATCCGCTGGCAGGGGAAGAAGCCGGTCGGACCTGGCAGACCCAAGCGTATAGTGAGGGTCTGCTGGGAACGTCTCGCTGAGCCCCCTGTCAGACGGACTTTCAACTCACACCTCCGGGAGAGCTTCTCCCAGGTCCCGGCGGAGGAGGGGGACATGGAGTCCGAGTGGACCATGTTCTCTTCCTCTATCGCCAATGCGGCGGCTCGTAGCTGTGGTCGCAAGGTCTCTGGTGCTGGTCCCGGCGGCAACCCCCGAACCCGGTGGTGGACACCGGCAGTAAGGGATGCTGTCAGGCTGAAGAAGGAGTCCTATCGAGCCATGATGGTTCGGGGGACTCCTGAGGCAGCTGTCCAGTACCGGCAGGCCAAGCGTGCTGCGGCCCGGGCTGTTGCAGAGGCAAAAACCCGGGACTGGGAGGAGTTCGGAGAGTCCATGGAGCATGACTATCGGTCGGCCTCGAAGAGATTCTGGCAAACCGTCCGGCGCCTCAGGAGGGGGAAGCAGTTCTTTGCCAACACCATGTACGGTGCGGGTGGAGAGCTGCTGACCTCGACTGGGGATATTGTCGGGCGGTGGAAGGAATACTTTGAGGTTCTCCTCAATCCCCCCGTCACGTCCTCTGTTTCAGAGGCAGAGGCTGAGGATGTTGGGGCGGATACATCCATCTCCCTGGCTGAGGTCACCAAGGTGGTTGGTAGCCTCCATGGTGGCAAGGCTCCGGGTGTGGATGAGATCCGCCCTGATTATCTAAAGTCTCTGGATGTTGTAGGACTGTCTTGGCTGACACGTCTCTGCAGCATCGCGTGGCGATCGGGGGCAGTGCCAATGGAGTGGCAGACCGGGGTGGTGGTCCCTCTCTACAAGAAGGGGGACCGGAGGGTGTGTTCCAATTATCGTGGGATCACACTCCTCAGCCTCCCCGGTAAGGTCTACTCCAAGTTACTGGAGAGGAGGCTACGGCCGATGGTCGAATCTCGGATCCAGGAGGGGCAGTGTGGTTTTCGTCCCGGTCGCGGAACACTGGACCAGCTCTATACTCTCCATCGGATACTCGAGGGTTCATGGGAGTTCGCCCAACCTGTCCACATGTGCTTTGTGGATTTGGAGAAGGCGTTCGACTGTGTTCCCCGGGGTGTCCTTTGGGGGGTTCTCCGGGAGTACGGGGTCGGGGGTCCTCTGCTGAGGGCCATCCGATCCCTGTATGACCGGAGCCAGAGCTGTGTTCGCATTGCCGGCAGTAAGTCAGACCTGTTCCCGGTGAATGTTGGCCTCCGACAGGGCTGCCCTTTGTCACCGGTTCTGTTCACTGTATTTATGGACAGAATATCTAGGCGCAGCCAGGGGTCAGAGGGGGTCCGGTTCGGAGACCACAGGATTTCATCTCTGCTGTTTGCGGACGATGTTGTCCTGTTGGCTCCAACGAACCAGGACCTACAACATGCACTGGGACGGTTTGCAGCCGAGTGTGAAGCGGCTGGGATGAGAATCAGCACCTCCAAATCCGAGGCCATGGTGCCCGACCGGAAAAAGGTGCCTTGCCCTCTTCAGGTGGGTGGAAAGGTCCTTCCTCAAGTGGAGGAGTTCAAGTATCCCGGGGTCTTGTTCACGAGTGAGGGAAGAATGGAGCGTGAGATTGACAGGCGGATCGGTGCAGCGTGCGCAGTGATGCGGTCGCTGTATCGGACCGTTGTGGTAAAGAGGGAGCTGAGCCAAAAGGCGAAGCTCTCGATTTACCGGTCAATCTTCGTTCCCTCCCTCACCTATGGTCATGAGCTTTGGGTAATGACCGAAAGAACGAGATCGCGGATACAAGCGGTCGAAATGAGCTTCCTCCGCAGAGTGGCTGGGCGCTCCCTTAGAGATAGGGTGAGGAGCTCAGTCACACGGGAGGAGCTCGGAGTAGAGCCGCTGCTTCTCCACGTCGAGAGGAACCAGTTGAGGTGGCTCGGGCATCTGTTCCGGATGCCTCCTGGACGCCTCCCTGGGGAGGTGTTCCGGGCACGTCCCACCGGGAGGAGGCCCCGCGGAAGACCTAGGACACGCTGGAGAGACTATGTCTCTCAGCTGGCCTGGGAACGCCTTGGGGTCCCCCCGGACGAGCTGGAGGAGGTGTGTGTGGATAGGGAAGTCTGGGCGTCTCTGCTAAAGCGGAAGAAAACGGATGGATGGATGGATGGATATTTCTGACCAATATATCGATAATCATATCGTGAGCTTTGTATCGCGTATTGTATCGTATTGTGAGGTATCCTGAGGTTCCCGCTCCTAATGAAAACTGTGATACTTTGCCGTGGTATCACAGTTCGTACAACCTTACTAGCAATCAGGGCAATGAGAGTCTAGTTATATATGTAATTATAACTACTGGCCTCTTTGATGTTCAAATATCCATCAGTCTTTTGATTTATCCTTTGCCAGGTCGCAGGAGCATCAGTCTGAGCAGAGACCTCCACTCACACTTGAAGCTCACACTTGAAGCTCACACTTGAAGCTCACACTTGAAGCTCACACTTGAAGCTCACACTTGAAGCTCACACTTGAAGCTCACACTTGAAGCTCACACTTGAAGCTCACACTTGAAGCTCACACTTGATACTATACATGTTCAAATATGAAAGGGAAATGATGCTCAAACAAATTACACATGAACTGAGAATTTTATTTTCAAAGAACAAAATACCATAAAAACTGTACAAAAACAATTACAAATTGTCTGTTATAACTTTAGTTTGCTGGCGGACACCACTTTCTGCTTCTTTTTAGATGACTGGTCTTTTGCACTTTTGATCTGGCTCTTTACTTGATCCTGCAGCTCAGAGAAAAAGGCTTGAGAGGAGCGTAGGGCTTTGTCCTTTCCTTCATCCTGAAAATTAAAAATGAAGGCAAACATTAATTACCAGTACAAACAAAAGCGAATCAAAAAACTAGAAGTAAACTCTTACCTTCAGCAGTGTAGCTTTGCCACCTTTTGTGAGTTTCTTTACACTTTCCGCGACTTGAGCCTTGGATAGCTTCTTATTTTCTCCAGTTTGTTGGGCCTCTTTGAGCTTTTGTCTTCTTTCTTTCTCCTGAATTTTGAGACGCTTAACCTTTTTCTTGTGACGCCTATCACGCTTTTTGTCCGTTGTGGTCTTTTCGGTGTCGCCCAAAATATCGCCAGCTTTGCTCTTTTCCTGATAATAAAATAAATATAGTCAAACATAAAGCAACAATTTATTAATATATTACACATAACACTTGGGGTCCTCAAAAATAATATCAAACCTACAAATATTTTCATAAGAGTGAGGGACTTTTTGATCGATCAGGGAAGCCTCGATGCTGATGACTTTGAGAATGGCTGCACTTTATAATTGGCAAAAAGTGGCAAGAATGACCTAGTCTTAAAAGGTTTGTAATTTGACAAATCCAATTGTTGTCTTCTCACATGTCACCACTAGAGTTCCTTCTTTACATCTGTGCACTTAAGATTGTATGGCAGGCACCAAAGAGGTTTCACAACTGCCATCTACAACTAGTACCCATGAAACAAAAATATAAATGAAGCTTTAGGAGCTGTGGCTGATCGTACCTTTACTTCTTCTGGAGCGAGTAACGTGGCATTGCTGACACTGACTGGAGCCACCTCCTCCATCGCAATAGAAGGCAGGTTAGAGACCACTTTAACCTCAGGAACAGACTGTCAAAAAACAAGACTCATTAAATGTAAGTTACATAAGACTTAGAAACATATGAAGCCCACTGAGATGAACACCTTTGCGAATGCATGCACTGTGTATAATGTGGGCTGCAGCTGACGATTATTTTATTATTTTAGTAATTAGTAATTTAGTAATTATTACCTTTGATTATTCAGAAATTCATATTTAAAATGTAATTAGATTGTTGGTGCAACACAGAAAGACTTGTGTGTGACTAATGTTGAAATTTGGGCCCAATATCTGGAGCGAAATTGACAGCTCCATAACTCAATCCAGAATTAAATTCTAGTCCACAGTGTGTGTGTGTGTGTGTGTGTGTGTGCGTGCGCGTGTGTGTGAAATGAATAAACAAAAATCCTCTTTAATACATTCAATGCAAAGGTTGTATAACCTGGGGGCAACAGTGGCTCAGTTGGTTGAGCATTGGCCTTTGGGCCTGAAAGATGTGGGTTCGGGCCCACAGAAAAACCTACTTCTCGACTCCCACTGATGCCTGCTGCCGTTGGGTCCTTGAGCAAAACCCTTAACCCCACTTTGCCTGTAACCCCTGCAGAAAGATCTCTGCTCCTGTGGACTCACACCTGCAGGGGGATCAGTGAGGGGCTGGTGCTCTGTGTACTGGGTGCAGCTCTGACTGCTACCCCCCCCGACCCAGAAATTGATTAAGGGGAAGAAAATGGATGGATGGCTGTATAACCTGATACACTGTATGAAGTATTAAGTTTTCTTTACTGTAACAATGTAATACAATATCTAATAGCCCTTTAGGCGCTGAGGTTACAGAAATGTTATATGAGCGCCTAAATCCAGGACACACTACAAACATTATTTAGTGCAAGCAGCTATTAGAATGTATCGAGGACAGAAGAAACAGCTGGGATATGTTGAATGGGATAATATTTTAATGTCTCGTTTATAACCTGAAAAGGCAGTTTCCTCAGAGTTGTTCAGTTTTCATGTTATTGCCTTGTGTCATGATCTTTCTCCAATTGTAAGTCCAAGACAAATTTCTTTGTCAACAGACAAAGACAAATCTAATCTTTGTAGAATGCAAGTACTTTACTATTTATTTTATGGACATTAGTAAATAAAGAGAAAAGATTGATAGATTTGAGCCCCTGTCAGAATGATAAACGATTGATACGAGGGATTTAAGTAGAAACTTCTGATTAAAATGACAACTTCTTAAACAAAAGTAATATGAATGATCTGATAATCTACCTTTGCAGAGTGTGAAGTGTGGAGATGTCAGATTTTGCAGGACTTACTGGTTTCGGGGTGAAGTGGAAGTTTGAAAGGGCATCTAACTTGAGGAAGAGGGTGTCCATGAGTTTTTCAATCTCTACATGAGCTGGATTTTCCTCCTCTTCTGTCTTTTGCTAAAATTGACAAGAATAAAAAGTCATATTAAATTACTATGCATACAAATTAACAATATATTCCCAGGAAATGAAAAAAATACCTGAATCTTTTTTATGTATTCTTGTTCATAGACCTCTGCTAAGCTTAGTTTGCTTTTCTCATGATCCAAGGTTAACCTCTTCTTGTACTCAAACACTTCCTCCTTGGGTTTTTCTTTACGGACCACATCATCAAAAGCCTTGAATACAATGTTTGATCAGGTTTAGTCCGGGACAAAAAGTTACATCCAGTCCATCAAAGAGTCATCACCAACCCCATCTTTAATCCTCTGCTTGATGATGTCTTCAAGTTGTAACGTTGTCTCTTCTGTGATTGCAGGGGCTGAAAAAGATAGGAACTGCTTTTAGGTATAGAAGTTCATTTTAAGGGTTTTATAATTCTGAATTAAACTTCTGACCCATTCTAGAGGACTGTTCGAACTCCACGTGCTCCTCGAGCATGCTGTTTTCGGGGCGAGCCTGCGCCGACACTTCTCCGGTCAGCTGCCACGGCTTTTCTGCCATTGCAGCTTTCTCCAGCTCGCCGATTTTCTCAGAGATCTACAAATACAATCCGGTTAAACAGTGACTCATGATTATTTACTTATTTCTCACTAATCTAAAGTAAAACAACAGTAAGTATTGGCTTTATCCAAACAGTTTTCTCTAATGTTACAACAAATCAAATCAAATTTAACCCTTTGTGGTTTTTGGTTTCAAGACCAGTAATTAGAGCTGGCAACAAAAAACTGGCAACTCAAATGATTCTAAGGGTTAGATTACATTTACACAGCAGCAATAAAAGTACTATATAATACACTTTTAATAACAGCAGCAATACATACATACTTACAACTCGTTTAAGAAGTTGTAAGTATTTACAACTTATTTTGTCACATACAAAAACGCGCCCCAAGCTGGTTTTACAGAACAAAACTGTTACCCCCGGGCAGTTAAGGCTACAATAATAGTTTACCATCACTATGGAAATAATCATGCAAAATAAAGAGTCCAAAACACTAAAACAATGTACTTTAGACACAAAAGGTACCTTCTCTTGTCGCTTTTCAAATGATGATTTTGATTCAGTTTTAGCTGATTTTCCACCAAATATGTCCTCCATATGCTCTCCTTCGCTGTCCTCATCTCCTGAAAGGTTGAATTTCACCCTTTTCTGTTTGTTAATGCCCATGGATTGTTTTGAGTCATCAAACCTACAATGGAAAAGGAAATGTAATTGATGTTAGTGACGTTGTAAAGCTCATGCACAGGGAGCAGAACGTTTCATCAATGCTATAATTACACAAAACGCTTCAAAAGTAAATGTATCCCTCTTACTCATCATCTTCAGATTCGTCCCCTTCGTCAAGCTCACCCTCCTCTTCTTCTTTGTCGTCATCATCATCATTATCATCATCGTCCTCCTCCTCCTCCTCTTGTGAATCGGCTTTTGCAATTTCTCCATCCACAGGATCAAAGTAATCTTGATACTTAAGATTCCTGGAACTTTTAACCTAGACAAAAATAACAACATTATTGCACCCAGATGCTCTCTCCTGAGGTTTCCACACTTTGCAGTTTCCGATCATTTACATTAGGGACAGAAATTTTATCTTAACAGTCAGATTGCTTCCAATTTTTTTATTCTGTCACACATGCATTATTGCATCCCCACACTAACCATAAAGGTTGTCATTTCTCTTTTAGATGAAAATATTCTCTTTAAAACCCTAATTGCATGGGAAAATACTACAATGTATTTCTTGGAATCTTCTCATAAAGTAACTTCATTCTGAAAACCCTCAAAAGAAAAAAGCTATTTAATCTGCCCAAGAATATTATTCTACTAAATTATATTACTCTGCCAAAACTGTACTACATTAACAGACATTTCAGTTTTTCCACTGGTATCTGTTCATAATGGGCACCGGCATATGTTGAAAGCCAAAATATCAAGATTAACATTTTGTATTAATAGAATAGAATCACAAACTTTTTTATTTTTCTTCTTGGCCGAAAGCATCTTCTCCAGACAAAGCCCATCTTCTTCATCAGATGGCAAATCTTGAAAATAATCGACATCATCTAAATTCTCATTGTCCTTTCCCTCCCGCTTGTCCATGTCATCAAGGAAAGACTCCATATCTGACAATTTAAAGAACGTATCATCCACTTCAGAAGGAATTCCTCTTGTTTTGGACTTATTTCCATCTGTTTTTTTCTTGATTTTTTCCCTTTTCTCCAATGCATCCACATCAAAATCTACATCAGAGTCCTCATTAGAGAATTCATCGTCACTGACAGCAGTCTTTTTCTTTGAAGGTTTCTTAACTTTTTCCTCATCATCGTCATAGTTGTTTTCTTCCTCCTCTTCATCTTCTTCTGTTGCTGCTTCTTCGTTATCAGAAAATGCTTTGTCATTTTCATTTACTTCCTCATCTTCCTCAAATGCTATCTCATCTGACAAAATATTCTCCACAAACTGTTGAAAGTGTTGTAAAACAGGGTTGTTTTGTAGCTCCAGTTCCTGCCAGATCTGCTCCTCATCAAAGTTCTTTACCGCCAACTCCACCAGCGGACTTCCTTTAAACTGTTGTGGCTCGTGGGCTTTTTGGAGGTCATAGAGAGTTTTTGTAATTGAAGTGAAGTCTGCAGCCACATCATCTTGAAGACTAGAAAAAGATGGTTACGTCAATATTATGTTGCAATTTGATTTTTTGATTTAAGAATAAAAACAAAAGCGAAAGACCTGCAATGACATCCACATTTTATTAAAGGGTACTCGAACTATCAAACCATACAATAAGTATGTACTTTGTAACATAGTTCCTCACTCTCAGAGCAGTTTGGTTCAATCACTAGTGTATGTATCTACAAAAATTTATTATGGATCATCCTTTTCAGACAGGAATGTGTCAAAGAGAGAGCCTCACAGGTCAATGATCTCTCAGCGTTGAATATTTAATAATGCTATGGTTTGATTTGATCACAAATGTTACCTTAATGAGACGGACAGTATTGTTATGTATAAAACGTTTGTTATGCAATCTTATAGCTAACTCCATTAGGAGCATTTCCTCCCCGAAAGAGTGCACAATGAAAACAAACATATTGAGGTGAGATTAGGTTTCTTCCATAAAGAACAAAATCATCCTGATAAAAGGGACAATTCTACTGTCTAAAGAGCGTTTCATTACCTGGATTCTCGTGCTGTCTGTACTATCTTTGCTTCTATGACGATCTCACATGTGACCACTAGCGATAGGATTGTGCAGATAAAAACAGAAAGCAACTTAAAACTTACCTCAAAAACTTTTCTAAGTGGGTCGTGTTGACATTTACTTTATTTACACAATCCTCCAGCGCTCTAAACTCTTCACTAGCCATTTTCTCCACATGTGTAGCTAGTGGTGTCGCAGGTAAACAGGCACTGCCAGAAACTCTTGCTGCGATCTGTAGTTCCGGGTAACAAAGATGGCGTCCTCTGTGATGAAGGTTGCTGGTAGGTTTTCGACAATAAAAACATTAAATGTTTCCTTTGTAGTTTAGATTTTAAACGATCTGTTTAGGGTAATGTTTAATCAAGAGCAAAGTGTTTTTATTAAGGCACCATCCGATTTTCGGTAGCCATGATAACCAATGCAAAAACTATTTCCCAAGTTATATTTGAACTATGATTTGAACAAACCTAATAAAATGTTTCTGGATGTGACCCTGGGAGGCGGAACAACACCTGAAGGATTACATGGAAATTAGTTTACAAACGTTAGTTTGTAAAGTAAATATATAAAGACAAAACATTGAGGACTCTTCTGTTATGTTTGTATATCCCTTTAAAACAAAAAGTGAGTGCATTTCTACATTTCCAGATGTCAAAGAAAAAACAATACATTTTGCTTTACAGCTTTTACCAGGTTTTGTGGTTACACCCTCAAAAGAGCGTACTCAAGAACAGCAGCTCTTGGTCAGGATGTCCCAAGATCTGTATGGAACCTGGGGAGACTCAATCACATTGCTGTTGCTGTGCCTGACATGGAGAAAGCCACATCACTATACAGAGATGTGCTGGGGGCCACAGTGAGCGACAAGGTGCCTCTGCCGGAGCACGGCGTCTACACTGTCTTTGTGGAGCTTGGGAACACCAAGCTTGAGCTACTGCATCCTCTAGGAGAGAAGAGTCCCATCGCAGGGTTTCTACAGAAGAACAAGGCTGGAGGAATGCACCATATTTGTATAGAGGTGAGGACTAAATAATTCAAAATAATTCAAAGTCATTTTCTGGCATCATGGATTTGTTTGATTCTATCCAGAATACAGTACTCTGATTGAACCATGTAAACTTTAATTTATATTATATATATAATCAGTTATGTGCAGCTAAAAAGAATTACCTATTACTTTTGTATCCCTTTTAATAAAATCATTGTTTTCTTGACGGATGCAGGTGGATAACATAAACGCAGCAATAACAGACCTTAAAGCGAAAAACATCAGGACCCTTTCTGCAGAGCCACGGATTGGTGCTCATGGGAAGCCTGTGATGTTTCTTCATCCTAAAGACTGTGATGGGGTGTTGGTGGAGCTGGAGGAGGCCTAATATTGTACCTTTACAAAAGAGAAGGACTCCACGAACAACATTTCAACAAGTCTGATGACTTGTTTTGTATTTTCTGTATGTGTGTAAAAAAAAAAATACTTTGCTACAGTTGCACTCCATTGTCAGAGAATGTTCCCTTTGAGTTAAATGGTGATAGGATTGTAAGTAAGTCATCTTTATTTATATAGCGCCTTTCACAGACTTCTCACACAGATGGGAGCGAGGCGACATACTGGAAGCGCAAGCCAGACCTATTGTACATGTTTTTAATGAGTTTTGAACCTGCTTCATCTTCCTCTTTCAAATAGCTCTCCAAAAGGTTTAGAAAGGTGACATATTACAAGTAGTAATTCATTATAATTATAATCATTATGTGGTAATGAGTAAAGTTTTAATAACCTCAGACTTCCACAATCTAATTTAATCATTCTATCAATAATGACCTTTTAGCATTAATGTTTTACAAATCCAGACAAAATTGACTCATAAGCATGTGGTGACAGTTTATAACCCTTTACAACACAAAACCTAATTATCTTGATCCAGTGATTTAATGTAAGCTGCTGCACTCAGTTTATAGAATATTGAAATTATATCTAAACTCAAAAGTAATTTGATCCATATCCCTTGTGCTACCATTTATTTGATACCCTATTTTTTATCCTTGAGCTGAATGGATTTTTTCTTAACATGACCAGCCCAGACTCATTTAGGGAGGGTTTCTTCTTTCACTGTGGCAGACAAGGGTTAAAAACAGTCAGATGCAAACTGAGCTATAAAAGAACACATCCATCGGTTTGTAAGTTTCTCCATTTTGAGAATTTTCAGTTTCCCTTCGTTCTACAAGCAATGTTGTTTACCTATGCTTGCATTTGTTTACATCCGCAAAGTAAAATGGCATGTCCAATTTCAGTTTAGTTCTCATTCTGTATTGATCCATTTATCTTACAAAAAAAAAAAACATCCCTCCCCAGCTAAATTGTAAAGGTTTAACCTAGGGGTCCAACGCAAATGTTTTATCAGGTTCATAGATAATTTATTGATCCCCATAGGAAAAGTTCAGGTGTCCAGCAGAAGACTCATTCAGGTCCGTTGTACAGTCAGACAGCCGAAGAAACAAAGAATCTCTTGAAACGTTCCGTTCGGCTGCGCAGATATAAGCTTGTTGCTACGATTTCTCTGAGCGGCCATAGTGTCATGAGTTACCCAGGATGCCCTGCATTAGAGCCCTCATCCTTCTCTCCAGCACAGCTACCACAGGTTTATGATACTTTAATGTACAGTCTATGGAGACACATTTGAGAGCAGCACAAGACTGCTAACATCCTTGAAGACAGTCTGATAGAAGAAATAAAACATTCATGGGAACCAGAAGAGTTTATTTGGTGACATATTTGGCTAGAGCAATGGAAACATGACAGCCCAAAATATATATTGAATGCAAATACGAAGACGTTGCGCAGGTTACCATCTTAATGCGTTTTTAAAGGAGTTGACCAGGATTATGGTTGGTAGAGTTTCATGCAGATGGCTTATAATTAAACATTTAGAAGCAAACACACAGAACATAAATCATTTATCATGTGGTTTAGCTGCTGTCTTTGCCCATAGTGTGCTTGTCAAACAGGTACTCCGCCATTCCGTTCTGTGGGGCACCCATGCGGCGCAGGTTGGTCACCCAGTCACCTAGCTCTTTGATGGACTTCACCTGCTCGTCCAGGAAGTTTGTCTCGATGAAATCGCACATCTATCAAAAGAACAGTGAATTTAATGAATTTTCATAGTAAATTGATAAACAACCATGGGTCAAACTGAATTGAGTTATGGCACCAAGGGAAGTGGTGCCACAAAAATATATCTAAAAAGAAAATGGCCTTTTAAATCACAAAAATCAACACAATTTAATGTTTGCCCACATTAAATGTCCCAGTGTTTTTTGGCATTTTGACGTATTGTTAAAGCAAACTACTTTCTAGCATGGGCCTTAAACACTGATGATGCGTCCTTACATGAGGGTCATTGTGCTCAGAGCAGAGTTTGTGCAGGTCGAGCAGAGACTGGTTCACGCTTTTCTCCAGCTGCAGCGCACACTCCAGAGCTTCCACACCACTGCCCCACTCGTCCTTCTCTGGTTTCTGAAATTTGAGCAGGTCACAGTAAGATAAAGACCAATTATTGCTTCAGCGTTTCTTGGAGCAGTTTAACGTTTGACTACTATGCACTTGTGGTGGCTGACCGTGCAGTGTGTCAAGGACAGATAAGGAACAGGGCGCACCCTCTGTAAACTTACGATTGTTGAAACCCTCCCAAATCCCGCCAAATGAAAAAGGTCTCAAATGTCTTCATTCTATTGTGCAAACTAAATGTTTAACAAACAATGCCAATATAAAATCATACCCTGACTTCTTTGAGGAAGATCCTTCCACCTCTCTGGTTTTGGAACTTCATCAACTTCTCAGCATGTTCTCGTTCCTCATGTGACTGGTTTCGGAAGAACTTGGCAAAGTTGGGCAATGCCTGATCATCCCGATCAAAGTAGTACGACTGCAAATATAACAAGGTTAATGGCATAGCTGTGGCAATTAATATAAAACATTTGATTACACTTTTAGACATATTAACCCATGTTATTGTTTAGATGCAGCAAAAACATTCCATGTGCATCACATAATTAAAACTTCTAAAAACATTAACCTAACTTTACCTCAGATGCTCAATGGTTCAGCTATAAATTCTTATCAATCACACATTAAACTCAATTCTGCTGCAGTGTTGTGATAAAAATTTTGCGGTTTATTTTTACGTCACAAGACACTTCATTCCATTGGTGACAGGCTGAACCTTTGATATCTCTAAAAGGTATAATTATCAGCAAGTGTGCTGACTCAGCATTTTGTTTCACCTCATTGAGCCTTACCATGGACAGGTAGACGTAAGAGGCGTACAGCTCCAGGTTGATCTGCATGTTGACTGCAGCCTCACAGTCCTTGTGGAAGTTCTGTCTCACCTGGGAACTCATGACTGGTAACCTGTTATCAAAACACAACGTCAATGTTAAGTATACACAATTTGCCCAGTCACAATTATCATCACACTGGCATTAGGGCATGGTCATTGCTAACAAGTCATTTAACGTAAGCCGCCGGACCATGACCTAGCGTCGCTGCGTCACCCTATGCGTCCTATAAGTTTACTCCGGGATCTGCAGTTTGTTGCAGTTTACCTATAATCATTGATAACATAGCGCTTATACGTTATTAAAAGTGTAGTGTTTGGTTACATTTGATTGTATATTTAAACAGAGGCCATTTTAAAAAGAGGCGAGACGTGGTTTGACGCCAACATGAATAACGTAAATTAATCGAAAGCATACCGTAGATGCAAAAATAAACTAATTTTAATCTACAATGTTAAAAACAAGGGAGCGCGAGAGTATAAACCGTCTGTTGGACGCAGATAACGTCACTGCAGCAGTGAACGTGCGCAGGAAGTAGGCTCCCGTAATACCAGGCCCCACCACTGTTTACGTGCCTTACACAAGGGCAATATAAACAAGCAGCAGTTTCAGACAAACATAGGCACAAATAGTATACACCTAAACATCAAAATGTGTTGAATGCTTACCAAAGTGGCGTTTGGAGAGTTGAAGGAGATGGAAATGTGTCTTCGATGTCAAACAAACGCGCTGAGCTGACTGCGTGTTCAATGAACGCTGATGATCTTACACCAGTACAATGGATGTTATTTAGCAGTGATTCTCGGAGGATGGAGACAGTTAAAGGTTGCCGTTCAAGCACTGTTGAAGCAGGTAACCTTCACTGTCCGGGCGAGAGAGCGACTGAGCGCCAGCGAGCGAGAGACACAGTTTAAGTGCTAGTCTGCGTCACTTCCGCTCGGATAAAAAAAAAAAAAAAAGGAAAAGAAAAATAGGACTTGGTATATTATTTACGTATTTGGTAGGTTATTTGATTTTATTTCATTTAAATGTTACAACACTTAGTCTCAAGATTGTATTTGTCGCTTTGTCACATTTGTTACTTCCATCCACACACTGCGCCTTCTTGCTTATGCAGCTGTCACTGTGGGTTTAGTTAATATATACAGTCTATGGTTTAGTCCGTGGATCTATCCATTGTTTTTTTTTGTCCAGATTCAAAATGCTCCACGTTGAAGCTAATCATACTTTGTAACGACTTTAAATTGAATACAAATCAGTCACATTTTTTATTATTCAGAGGTTATTAATTTTACAAATGAAAATAATTCTAGACCAAATTGGGTTATAAAGGTTGAAATAGAAATCACACTCGATGAATAAACCTTTATTAGTGCCAGTGGGGAAATCCTAAGTATTATTAAAAATGTGTTACATTGTTTGCTGAATATTCAGTATATTAGGAATGGATCTATTATACTATATCAAGTCACTAGCAATTGTCTCAATGAAACTATTTTAAAAAATGATATCTCACTTAAATCAAGATTTAAGTGTTACTTTTCTGGAAAAAGAAAACTTAAGTTGCCAGCAAAGCACGAGTTACAAATGTCATCACTTTGGACATTTCAACACATTGCATAATGCACTGTGAAAAATCCGATTGAACATGATTCACTCTTAAAATTCAGGGGCCGTATTCCTAAAGATTCTGAGAGTCCTCTCAGAGAGCTCTTATCTTAACCTAAAAACTCCTAGCTAGGAGTCTTAGCTTAAAAGTTATTCCAGAACACTCTTTTAGAGAACTCTGAGCAAGGAATTGACAACAACTTTTATCTTAGTGAGGAGGCGTGGCCGACCCCGTTGCTAGGTATGAGTCATCATTTCAGACGCTGTGATTGGTTGATCCTAAAAGTTAGAACAAACATATTTTTGATGATAATAGGCAAAATAAGGGCCCTAAAATGGACAAACTCAATCATGGAATCTAATCTTAGGAACACTGTGTTATTGTAAATAATAACCAAAAGCTATAAAGTCAGATATATCAATGGTACATAAATACTGTGAATAGTAAAGTTAGACTTATACACCATCATCAGAGCTTGCTCAGCACCAATTTATCACACATAATACGTATATATCATGAGCACTTATAATTTTATATATATATATATACATATAATTTAAATATTACTCTATATATAATATACATGATAAAGAAAATTATTATAAATATATGGATAAATGATGATAATGATAACGTTAGGATTAGTAAAGGCTGTGATATGTATAGACCAGTGTCTCCCAAAGTGGGGTCCGCGGCCCCCTGGTGGGCCGCGAGGGTACTGCAGGGGGGCCGCGGGAGGTCATAAAAAAAAAAATAATAATAATATAATTATTTAATGTTAAATTTATAATGTTTTGTTTGTAATATTAAAATATTTGTGTTCATTATTTGACTTGAATAATCCACTGTAATCATTTTTGTATTACAATGTTTGTAGCAGAGGCTATTTCCCCAAAATAAAATAACCAGAAGAGCCTATTCTTAATGTTGTCTTCTTGGTTATTATTTTGGGGGGCCACGCAGACCCGTCAGATTTTTAAGGGGGCCTCGGTGTTACTGAGTTTGGGAATGGCTGGTATAGACTTATAAGGAATTAAGGAAACAATATTAATATAAACATATTATACATAGACTGTACAAATCAAGTACAAGGGAGCTTAAAAGTCTTATCCTCTCTCACTCCTTTTTGAGCTGGATTGTTGTTAATAAAACAAAACTGTATATTTGTACTTCTATTCTGTTGTTTGTTTTGTCCTTTTTTTTCTTGTTTGCCATGGCTCAAAATAAAGTATTCATTCATTCGTACTGAATGTGTGACAATTTAGGACCACTTTTTCCTCTCTTTCAACTTTTACCATTTCTACTTACTTTTGTGTAACAAAGGTAAAATGGATGAGGTGTTATTGCTGACCAGCCAGTGAGAAGCTGGTCACATGATTGACTTTTAAATATACCACAAACATGATTCCTGCTTGAATCTGTAGCGTTTCACTGATTCACTGTCATCCAGTGTATAGAATATTTCTCCTGTCTCCACCGTCCACCATTTTGTGCTCTTAGGGAACTTTTAAGTCGCTAAAAGTCCTCCTCTCAACTCTTAAGGGATCTCCCCTTAAGAGCACTCTTAAGAGCTAGGATTTTTTAGGAATAGCTTTTATCTTAACTAGGAGCTACTCCTCACTTTTAGGGGAAATTCTAAGAGTTGGTCAAGATTCTAAGAAAATTCTTAGAATTTGGCCACTAGGAGCAACTTTTAGCACTAAGAATCTTTAGGAATACGGCCCCAGAAATTCTGTTTGGATGGAATGGAAGTCAGTCTGCTTCATAACTGCCCTCCTGTACATTTTCTGGAAATGTGAAACACTAACCCTTAGATATTACTTTCATTTCCCTCAAATGACTGCATGGTCATGTGCCTGAGTGTGATGTTCCATCTACATGGTGATTATTCGGAACTGCAAAATCTATAAGAGTAAAGCTCTTGTGAAAAGCGGAAGAGCCTAATAAACAAGACTCTGGGAAGGCGAAAGCTTATTTTTTTCACAATGAAAGACATTCCCTGTATCCTTGTGCTCAAATACATTTAAGTCACAATTCATTTTTTTATAAACATTTATTTTCAGTTTAGTCAAACAGGCCAAATCCCATGTCGTCATCGGACTCCTCTGACTCTTCTTTCTTCTCTTCTTTTTTCTCCTCAGCTGCAGAAAGATTAAAGTTGTTACCAAAACACAGGTGAAAAAGCACAGTGAGATTAATGTGACTCACCTGCAGGAGCAGCAGCTCCTCCAGCACCAGGAGCAGCAGAGCTGGCAACAGCGACAGCACCACCACCTGCAGGCATGCTGGCCAGTTTACCATAACCTGAGGACAAGAGCAGGTTATCAGGCCTTTGTCCAACTACTGCATGTGGAAAGTAGGTGGCCAACATCAGTCTGACAATTTACTCTGAAGGAAAAGGAATAGCAAAGCTTTCTTTCTCAATGGAGCCATCCCAAAACACACCTTAATACAAATCCAGGTTTTGTTACAATGGGTGATCAGTAATTAGAAAGATTTTATCAATTTTGGGACCTACAAAGTGAATCACTTTAGATTTCCTTAAACTCCACCATATTTGGCTGTGTATAAAGTCTTACACATTTTGGAATCATGCCATTGAGACCAATGGATTAAAGACTTATTTGCTCAAATGTAAAAAAAAATCCAGACTCAAGTGACAATCCTCCACAAAGATAAATTTAAATATTCACAAAGGATTGTGACAAAATATGCTGATTCCATGTGCAATTGAAAGATCAGCCTGACCATAGGTAAACATTTAGTTTAAGATGACGCTTCAGTGGGTCAATTTATCAGGTGAGAACCCACCCAGGTCAAAATGAGAGAAGTCAAGTCAATGCTCATTAATATTTACTGTCAATGAGTGCCTCAGTGTTAATGTGTAAACATGCCTTACATTACACTTTTGATAAACTGGGCTGCAAGGATAAAATACTAGCATCTGACCTACAACCAAATGCCAGTATTTTAAGTTTATAGACTTAATACAAATAATTTAATTTTTTTTATTTTCAAACCTGGACATGAGCCACTCACCTGAGGCAATAACCTCGTTTACATCTTTGCCCTGGAGCTCAGAGATGACCTGTAATAATAAATCACGTTAGTTCTTCATCCTGAATTTAACAGTTAACTGTCCAGAGCAGCAACATACCTTGGTCAGACGTGTATCATCAGCCTCAATACCAACGCTTTCCAGGATTTTCTTGATGTCGTTGGCCGCAGGTTTCTCATTACCACCGAGGGCAGCAAGAAGGTAAGCAGCAACGTAACGCATCCTGTGGAAACAATCAGAAGAAGCATTTTAGGTAAGTGACCATTACTTGAAATAAGACAGTAAAAATGTTTACTTCAAAAGTAGCAACAAAAATAACCAATCAACCTTGTAGAGAATCAAAGAAAAACTGACGAGTCTTCTAGACATAACATGACAAAGGTGCACTTTGTCATGTTATGTCTAGAAGACTCGTCAGTTTTTCTTTGATCAAAACCATGTGCACAATAAGACATGTAAACGGCAAGGACAGGGTTTTGTCTCAAGACCCATGGCTACAGACGGTTCAAACATTTACCAGAACAAGTTTTACGGCTTTGAAATCTGAATAAATGACACTGGATAACAATTTAGGAAGGCAGATCTTGTCTTTTGTAGATACTTTGTTCTTCTATACAAGACTACGGGCAGTGATCACGGGAATAACATGGGCATCTTAAATTAGTCTTATATATAACCAAACAACTTAGTCGTAGTTATGACATGCACATCTACACAGTCGTATAATTTTGTGCGTGATTGAATTTAACACGTTTTGGGATCGAAGATTTTGTATCCTTTTCCCTCTCCCGTGTAATGCTAGCCTATTAGCCGCTGTCGAACGGGCATCTATCATAGCCACGATTACACGTATTTTCTGTACGCTAAGCAGCTCGGGTGTCGTTCAGGGATACTGGGGGACGCGGTTGGTCAGAAGTGTGAGTTTTCTACTTGTAAATGTGATCAAACGTGGCACTCACTTTGCTATAGAGGCGAGCGCGTGTTCACAGCGAGGGCAGCGGGTGCAGAAAGGAAGAAGCGTCACTGCGCTGCTGTCTTTATCCTGTGGAACTGTGGAACAAGTGGAGCGCCGTCTGCTGGACAAGAGTCTGTACTACAACTGCCTGATAAACACTGTCATCCTACTACTCACGGAACTTTCCCCTAGTTTTTTTTTTTTTAAGACAAGGCAAATTTGTATAGCACAGTTCATACAAAAGGCAATTCTAAACACTTAACAAAAAAATATAGACACTCATAGAAGGCATTCAATTCATACATTAGAGTGAGGATACAATCCATCAGTTGTGTGCACAGCTAAACTAAACATAACTGTTTTTCATCCTGCATTTGAACATTGTCCAAGTAGAAGCTGGTCTATTTTCAGAAAGTTCCAGATTTTACCTGCATAAAATTGAAACGCTGCCTCCCCATGTTTAAAGAACTTTACTGTTGTTTAATGTATGCAATAGATAGGATTTCTTATTGAGTAATACTCTAGACTATTTGCTGGTGCAAGAAATGGTTGGTGTGCCTGCAGATTTTCATTTCAATGACCCACTCCAGACTGCTCATTTCATCAAGTCTTCACCTTGAGACGGGACTCACTTTATGAAAAGGATGCAGTTTGGTGTGCAGTTCTTGAACACAAACCTGCAGCCACACCTGCCCTATGAGGACCAGCTTGACCCCCCTCCCTGCCCTGTTGCAGTTCCTTAGTCTAATTTTTTGTGTTCTATTCTGTGAATTTGACATAATCATTATCACATAGTAGGTTATGAGTCTGAATACACCGTAGCTTACATCAGTATACCTCAGGACAGCTGTGGCTTCAACAGTGGCATACATTTACATTATATACAATAAATGAATAAGGACGGTCATGCTTGAAGGTCAGAAGGTTGCGATGTTGTGTTGTTGTGGAAATGAGGCGTTTCTCTCCATGTCTGCATTTCCTCCAGACTCTATGGTTCCCCCTCCGCAACTCAAAACATGCATATGTAAAATCCTCTTCTACGGAAGCGCTGCCCAAGAACATCAGCATTTGGAGATGGGTCTGTAGTGATCCCTACTCTTTACATTACCGTCCCTAGTGGCATTGAAGGATGAGTCAAAAGCAGTGAACAAATGACCTTATATGAACAATTAATGCATACTTTCTTTTTTCATTACAGAATTAATAAATAAATGTAACTTAATATATGTGTAATCAGTACTTTGTTTAGAGTTTCTGAGGACGAGCTCAATTGGCGGATAGTTGGTTGGTCCAAAGTCCCTCTTAAGCCTCTTGTGTCTCCCAACACCAGCTGGCCCTGACTGACAAACACTCCAGTGCCCACTCCCTCGTCTCAAACGTGATGGATTTGTGCTGCCAAAAATGTGAAGTGAACCATAGTGAGTCAGTTTACATAGATGAAACCCAGCTTGTGTATATACAACAATCTCCGGGGCATACATACTTTTTGTTCTTATTATCAAAGATAGATACAGTATATTTAGGCTTGACCTTGAAAACTAGGCACTTGATATTTCTAAAATAATAATAGTATATACAATTATTTTATTTCAATTAAATTAGTTGTACTCATAACTTCACAATTTATGTATTTTATCCTTGTTTTAAGAAGAAAATAAAAACGTTGCTCAATTGAAAAATTAGAACTTCAAGCAGTTTATTTAAGCCTAAATTGTGAACACTAATGGTCTACATCACATTATACATTCAACATTAAGAACAGTAAAGAGCAAAACAAAAGGACATAACGGCAACAAGTCTACAGGTAAGAAGCCAACAAGCATTACACACCTCAGACCATTATCAAAAATTTCACAAATGCAGCAAATTTGGTCCTAAAACAAAAAGAATCGGCCAAAATCTCAGAAAATTGCAACAATTAAGGCCTGTTAGGATCTCGTCCAAACAGGCCTGGGTACATCTGTGCTATTTTTCTGTGAGTGGCTGATATGGCCCTGGTTCATCAGCAAAATGACGTACCAGACATTCCTCAAGTTTGTTTTTATATTTAGGAAATTCACTTATAAAAATTGAGAAAATATCAAAAGAAAACCATTATAAAAAATACTCTATTGACCATTTGAAGTGACAAAGAACAAACACATAGAAAGGTAAAGAGTGGATTGCAAGGACAGAACAGATTGAGAATTTGCCACATGCACAGTGTGTGAAAGCCATACTTATATTTTATATGAAATTGTGGAGTCGGAGTCTGTATGCCGCAAGCTTCATTTAGTTTTAGCAGAGATTTCTAGATTTTTTAAGCATGTGATATTGCTGTCCATAAGGCCTGAAGACTTAATCTAACATTCATCAGTAAAAGTTGTTACTTGTCACATGAACATCAAATGGAAGTTTTCGCATCACTGAGCTTGCATAGATTTTTACTGTGATTTGCACATTTCTTTACAGTATATCATTGAGATTTGATCTTCAGCCTCAAAAATGTAAGCACAATCGTTTATAATTTAGACAACAAATGGTTCAGAGTTTTGTAAATGCATTATAAATAAATTTGGAAAAAATATTTATCAAAACAGTGTTCATTTTTATACATTAAGCATATTTTACAGCACAGTAAGCACCAGACATCCCTTTTCTGAGCACAAATATCAAGCAAGTTAACTAAAAAAACAAAACAAAAGCCCAGACAACCAGAGACCTGCATGAGGTGAAATAGAAGTCAATAATAACACAACCTAAAACAACATAACCCCAACTTTCAGAATGCAAACATGTATCCGCCAGAGTCTCTGACCCTGGGGCTCGTTCACTCTGAGCCTAGTTTGTCCTTTCTATGTACAGTAGAGTGCATCTAACAAACATTTAAAAACTTGAATGTATAAATAAGCCACCATTTTGACAGGGCAAATTTAATATAATAAAAGATGAATGATACTTTTTATGCAAGTTATGTAAGAAATGTTTCAAATTAAGCATTATATGCATCAATCCTATGACGCAAAAAAAACAAAGATGAAAGACATTCTAGAACTCTCGTTGCAGTGTTAGTGAAAAACGAGCTCAGTGAAAGAATTTCCCCTAAAAAAAAACACACTTTAATCTTAGTTCTTCTTCTCTAGCGTGTTTATGAAGCATTAAGCGATTAGGATCATGTAACTGTAGCAGTGTTGTAAAGTCTTTAAAAAAGGAACAAAAACAAATGAACAGTCCCAGATTACAGACAAAAATATCGTTGCCCTGAGGCACTTGGTAGTGTTTGTGATAAAGTATTAAAAACCCTACCAGTCAAATGAGCATTCAATTTGTCAATGAAAAGTAGTGCTATAGTGCCCAAGGATGACAATCATCAGTGTTCAGTATGTTCTACAGAAACAAAACCTGGTGTTTATTTGTAAATGTGAACTACAGCTAAAGTTGGGCTTGTGTGTTACACATGTTGTGCTGGGAAAGAGGAAATAGATGTGGACAGATGGCCTGAAGGCTGGAAGAGGACGAGGGACTGGGCATCAGAATAAGTAAATCCTACTGGGGATAGTTGTTCTGTTGCCTGCGCTTTGCCGACCTCATTTTCTCAAAGCGAGACTCCATCTCCTCCAGGACTTTAGGAGTGTACCTCACCACCAGCTTCACTGTGCCCTGAGCCGCCTTCAGCAGCTCCACAGCCTTCTCATGGTGCTCCCCCTCCACACTCTATACAACAAATACAAGAAACATATGAAGACAACCAGAATTTATGACACAATTATGAATTTATGTTCACATCTTTGTGTCAAAAAGAAAACAATTTAAGGGCTAGAAAGGACAATATGTAATCATAAATTAAACCTTTAACTTAAAAAACAAAAAACAAAAAAAACAATCTTTTAACTCAGTAAGTGGATATAGCAGACTGAATAATTCAATGAAACTGTAATCTCACCACTCCGTTGACAGACAGCAGCTGGTCACCCCTCTTCAGGCCACCGTGGCGATCAGCTATTCCCCCTGGAATGATCCTGGAGATGTAGATAGGAGAATTCTGCTCCTTTCCGCCCATTATATTGAATCCCAGGCCTTCTTCAGTTTTGGGCAGCTCCACCACCCGAGGATGAGAATGCCCTTCGCTCGCGGCAAAGGCTGCAACTGTGGCCTGAAAGAGTCAGGAAGAGTCTCTGACACATGCTGCGGCGAAATGTTTTGAGAAACAGGTGCCACAAAAATACTTAAAGGAGCAATATGTAATATTTGCATGTCAAGTCATCATTAAATGACCCGAATATTTCAAAAGGCGTTATTAAATCATACTCTTTTCGAATTCATCTTTAACTGATAACAGTAGTTCAGCCAAGATATTTGAATATCAAAATTAGTTTTACGACCCATAAAAGTTGTTATTGTTTTGATTTTGATGTCCTACCCTCCGCCGTTTCGCCAATCAGGAAGTGTCATGTAAGTCCGTGATCGGGTTGCCAGAACTCCGCGCGGCTCATTAATCTCAGAGGTAAAATAACATGTGGCGTAGAACTAAAAAAGGTCTTGTTATGACTCTCAAATAATTAATGACAAAACAAAGACTAAAACGAGGATTTATATCGGGATGCCTTTGAACAATTGAGACAGCTGATAAAAGTTTACGTGTGATGCAGAATTTTCTAGTTTGATTCCGTTCTTCACGGTGTCTCTGTTCGTGTGAATCGGTGGTCTAGCGGTCTAAACTGTGCTCTTACAATGCAGGAACCCGGGTTCGATTCCGTGCTATGTCTTTTTGTATTTATTGCGTGTTATCACATTCTATGACAGATTGCTCTAAAAACGGTAAAAGATGAAGGTCAAGACGTTTTTTTTGCAGATTATAGCTTAATTGTAAAAATAATAATTTAAGACCACATGTACCCCAATTAAAATAATGTTAGTCTCTTTTTGATGTGGGACTTTTACATGTTTGTCTAAAAAATAGGGAATAAATAAAATTGAAAGGTGATATCCTCTTGAGCAAACCCTGATGTTGATACGCTGAAGAAATACGTTCCAACATCCATTCTTCCCACTCCTATTTTGGACATCAATTTCTTATTTATTTTGCATAAACTATGTATAATTACATTGCTTTTATTTTGTTTTTGTTTTTTATCTCAAATGTCCAAATTATAATAATAAAAAAACATGAATCAAAACATTCATTCAGCATTAGCACGGCTGTCATGGCAATGTGAATGGAGACGGACAAACAACTGATAAAATAATTCCCTGTGTTTGCTGCTGGATTTGGTGTGAATCTGGCAACCTGAGTCAGGGAGAGTGGGAGAGGACTACAAAATATTGACTGTGACTGCAGTACCACTTTTGGCCAGATTTTTACATATTGCTCCTTTAAAATATGACAGCTGAGACAAGCACTTGACTGCAGAAGAAATACTATACATTATTTCTGTTCATTAGAAAATATGATTAGACCAGTAACTCTGTCATCTCATGTTTTAGAATGTGAAATAATATTTTAAGCAGAAATGTATATGGTGAAACAAGGATGAAGGGCAAAACCTTTAGCTGCTTCCACTCGAGGGAGTAGTTTAATTTGATTTGTTCCAAATTTCAACATAACCAGTTGCATGAAACATAGCCATTATACAAGCGATAGGTTAATATATCAGGTGAAATGACATACTACTTAATGACTAACTACTTAATACGTAAGTAACGCTTGTTTTAAAAGTGAGTTTGAGTCATGGTGGTACAAATACAGTATACTATATTACAGGACTAAGACAGGAGCTTTTAGATAGAAGGGGGCGGAGTTACACATTTGTACCAGAAGTTACAGATTATTTGCAACATGTTTAAAAGCTCAAAAAAGGCATCGCAAGCTTCCTCTTTTAAATCTCCAACTGTGTAGCCCATAGAAGCAGTTGGTGCTCATGGAATTCTATCGTACTTAAGGTCCTGGTTCGACACATAACAGGTTTGAGACAAAACCAGTGTCATGGTTTGCTGAGCAGATATTTTGGAAACATTCTGAACTGTGCCCATACATGTTTGTTTTACATTTTCCAGTGTTATCACTTTCCTCCATGCTACATAGGAGGTGAAAAAAGAAGGTCCTTGCGCTTAAATTTGTGAAAATCCTTCTAAACCAATAAATACCAAGTCCTTAATTACCTTTGCTGTAGCATTGGCCCGAACCTCAGGACTGCTATTGATGTCAACGGTTTCATACACGTGTTCATAAACCTGGACATACAAAATGTGTGAATACTCGAATGTGTTTTAAAGTTGCTCCAGTATGACTCACTTCTCGGACTGCATTACAGAACTCGCTCTGGAGGACCCTCTGCAGAGCCTGCAGCTTCTGTGGAGGTACTTCCCCTGTTCGCTGCAGTTTATCCAATAACTCAATGGCACGATTAATATCTGAAAAAAAATGAAACATAGAACATATAAATATCTCGTTCAATTCTACATTATGAGCAGTGTTGTGATTTTAGAGGCATGTACATCAGATAGATAGACAAAGGTAGAATATAGAAATGTAATATTGAATTTATATATTAACTCTATTAATATTATTTTGTGTTGTTTAATTTAGTCAAAATCAATTAGAGCTTATGATGCAAAAAAAGTTGACAGTAGTTTGGTGTCCGTCTGTCTGTTTACATCTTTTGACACAACATTCGGTTTTAAGAGGGTCACATTGACGAATTCAGTCATAGTAAAGCACAAATAATGACATTTGAATTAACGGTGTAAAAAACAAATGTATAGATCCATGATTTGAGCATAATAAGAATTTATAGCATTAAATTGTTTAACATGTTGTCGATGGTTTACACACAATTGACGCTAGCCTGCTGATACAAATACACTAGTTTTTTTATTCACGAATACAAAAAGATTAAGGAACACGAGATGTCGAAATTCTCTTGTCATTCATCAAATGACCATGGTTGAAATAATCGCAAATCACACAAAAGCCGCACAACTAATGCTAAAAGAAATGAAAACCGCCCAGTGTCATAACAAATATTGCACAGCTAGCCTCTGTTAGCCAATAACTTACCCCTTTCCAGTCGCACTGGCTCTCCAAGTGACGCCATTGTTAATTGCAAGTACCGTCTTGATGATGAATGAATTGTGAGTTAAAAGACAAATATGGAAAACGAAAATTGTTAATCCCTGGAAACGTCGTGAGCGCTTAGCTCAGACGATAAATCAGATTAGCCAAGTTAGCTAGTAGGCTAACAGCCAGTGACACCGCTCTGCACGACAGTCGGAAACTAGCCTCTCCTGAAGTAAAGCTCTAGTTCACACGACAAATGATATGTTTAACTTTTCATGAAAGGGGAAGGGACTAAACTAAAGTGAGTAGATCAATTAACATATACGCAATTGTGTAAGTTATGTTTTATAACAAAGGTGTAATTCATCAAACTTTTTAAAATATATCACTGAATTTTGACCGTGTTAATTGCGCAAGATAAACCATTCATATGTTGTCATGATTAAAATTATACAACTTTTTTTTTTAATGCGCATACACATTTTATATAACAATATGTACACTTTCTATTTGTAAATACACATTCTGGTGTTACTATTTCCGATTCTTTGAACTAACATTTCTTCTCTACCTCCCTCTAGCGGCGGACCTCAGAGAGACATCCTCACAGCAGGGGCCATAGCAGCAGGAGTCAAAGCTGTGAGTCATACAGGCTATGATGTGAGTGCAGGGTTGAGCAGTGAATGTGGAAATATGGCTTTCTTATCAATATAATCATTCTGGTAGTAGTTTAAGTATATCAATTCACGTGTATGGTTGTAGAGAACTCAGCTAACATAGATGGGACCAGAAATTCATTGATGTACACAGACACTGCATCTGGGAATTCAACACTAACCAAGACTTGAATATATGATTATGTATTTTAGCATGTTTTCATACGTGTGTCTCACTTTAAACCTGTAAACCTTTCTCTATATCTTTTCTCTTCCTTCTCCTGTTTCTCAAACTCTCTGTATACTTGAGTTCTTCTTATTGGATCTGTACTTACCTTAAACTTGAACAGGAACAAATTAGTGGTGCATACTTGAAGTTTTCTGCTCTTCGGGCGCATTTGGATGGGATCCACAGTCGAAAGTGAAGAGATGAAAATTTTCCTCAGATAATGTATTATTACTTCACACTGATACCTGGTAATTAAACTTGGCAGCAATGTACTTTGCTATGTGCAGATTTATTATATGCTTCAGGGAATGTTATTGGCTCTTCAGCTTTCAACCCTCTTTCCAAAGCACTGAATTTGCAATCCATTCATTTAATTTTGTCTTTTGTTTGCGATTTTATCATTCTTTTGTTTGAGAATGATATCCTTTCTGAGGAATAATACAGTTGTATTTGGATGTACACAAAAAGCAGGAGCACCAATCAGTCAAAGTCTTATTTGTCATACCTCATGAACCTTTAGGCTAAAGTATCAGTCTGAGGCTACTCTTCTGATATGTAGGTTTCATTGTGTCATAATTAAAAGACATTCAGTGTAGATAAATGTAGAAGAAGGTAGAATATGGTGATTTATTCTAACATCACCTCAAGCCATACGGCCAATGCTTTTATGTTCGTTAAGTGACAACTGGTTCATGCAAATGTTTGTGTGTGGAGTTTATCCTTCTTTGAAATGCACTTGTGAAACTTTATGAACATTGATTTTGTTTTTCAGTTGCCTATAGTCATTTTTATTTCTTCAAATATTTCAGTTTAATATTGCAAACAACTTCACAACATACAAAATGAATAATATTAACCCAGAAACATGTCATGAATAGATTTTATATATATAGATATAGATATATATACTCTTTTATATATATATCTTGTCCTCTGGTGGGGATAAAAAAATAAACAGCAAAGCTTTGACAACAGCACCTTGACATAGTATGTGGTTCCAACATTACCTTGAGAAGTTTAGAACAGTAAACAGATAAATTACTGCAGGAGGTTCTGAGTATGTAACGGAATGTTTTTGGTAAGCGTCATTTCCTTTTTTGTAAGTGGAGAAGTTTTCAATTCACAATTGAAGCAGCATGCAAGCCTTAAAGATGGAGCTGTCCTCCTTCATTCCTTGCCTTGTTTTTTTCCTTCATATTCCAAAAATCTTGGCAACTTAAATAAATCACAATGTCTTAGAGGAATGTGATAGTAATTTAAACTGGGCGCAAATGACTGATCAGATTTTTTTTAATTGTTTACAAGGTCATGAATATGTTCAATAAATAGACTGTAGTATCACTTTACTGTATAAACTTCATCTTTTTTACATGCAGTCCATAAAATTTTCATTTGACGGAATAATTTACCCTGTTATGTATATATACAAATAGATATTTTCTCTGTATTCTCTTTTTTAAACTCTTCAATAAAATCTATACATTTTATACACTATCTCCCTCTTTTAATGGTCAATGTGCATACACATGAAGTGTCTATCCTTATAAAGCGCCAGCCGATCTTCTTTTTGCTATCCATGGTAAGCGCTCGCACGTAGGACTGGGTTGTCCTGCATTGGGAATTATAATGCCGCTTGTCTATTCCTCTGCAGCCGTCCTTCGTGTACCCCATGGGGTTGCATTTGGTCTCATAAAAGTATTGCTTCAGTTGGCCATTGGTGACAGGGACCTTTTCCATGACGGTAACTGTCTGCCCAGACATGTCTATTGCCGTCTTTTTATCCACAGCTGTCACCCACTGGCTAATACTGTCACACACACTGAGCTCTCCGCGCCGCGACGGGTCCGAGTGTCGGCGAACCCGCATCGACATGTTTGCAGCATCCAGATAGTTTTTGTATTCCTCCAGGAGAAAGAGCAACGGTGGCTCCAAAGGCACTTGGTTGCTGATCATCACCCGCGAGTTGTACAAGTCGACATCCTTGGTCTCTGCTGGGAGCACCGCACTGGACCCCCCTCCGCCCTGGCTCTTGTCCGAGCCCTGTCCCAGATGAGCATTGCCCTCCACTTCCAGCAGCTCCTCTATGACTTGCTCAAACGTGTCTGTGAGCGCTGCCAGCTCTCCTCCGCTGCCCTGAGCTGTCGCATGGCCCCGGCCAGCAGTCGCAGCGGCGCCCAAGTAGCCCTCCGTCCGATGGGCCCTCATACCTGGGGCGTCTCTCAGGGGCGCGGCTCTCATGCAACTGAAGTATGAAATTACCATAGTAAGAAACAGGATGGTCATCACTCTTCTAACCTGGTGGAACTGCAACAGAAAGAAACAGAGAAGCACGTTAGTCAAAGAGCCTTTCAAACAAACTGGACTCATTCACACACATTTAATCAAAGCCAAAACGAGCCACTTGCCAATGTTTTATTAAAGTGACATTGGCACTGATTTATCAGTTTTACAAATTGTTTGCAAACTAATCTTGTGTGGTGTCGGTACTGAGTTCTTTGTGTGCTGGCAGCTAAAAAGACATAATTCACAAAAGATCCCATTTCACAAAACGACTTCCATACACTAAACAGTAAGTTTAACATGACGTCTTCATTAATATGTCATCAGTCCTTTTATTGTTAAAACATAATTGACAGAAACGAACGATAGAGAACACCTTTTTTAAGATTAATCTAGTGCCTCGTGTGCGTGTTTGCTTAAGAATATGAGATTGTTTGTTTTTGCTTTCATTGAAGGCTAGTGTTTGGACAGCGTCAATATTGGCTTCCGCTAACAAAATGTCCTGTTCTTCAATATGGACAGCTCTCATTAAAAGGGGAATTTGTGTGCACCTTGACAAAGGTTAGAATATTTAAAAATACCCATTGTTGTTTGGCCGGAAGCAGGAGGTTATTGAGAGTTAATGATTTTTGTTCTAATGAGGATATCACAATATTAATTGACAGAAAATGAAATTTAGGTAAGGCATTATAGTGTACAAAAAGGCGTGTCATCCTCTGTACGATTAGATTACTAACATCAGGTAGTATAAATAGCTATATGATATATATGTAGAGAGAAAAATAGTACATTAAACACATTTCTACAATTCAAAAACTCAACCACAAGGCTTATAGGCATTCTTACTGTTGCAGAATTGTGTCCACAGAGATAAAAATGTGTTTAATACCATACAATGGAAAAAGCCACATTATGTACCTTTTTAAAGAATTATAATATGTACCAACCTAATTATAAAAACATAACCTCAGCTGTGACTCCACAATGACAGATCCTGACCCGGCAACCCAAAAAGTCATCTCAGGTTTTTAGAGCAAACCCTACCTTTTGAAAGCATTTGTTTCATTCTTAATTGGTATCTGGGGCCTTGGCTGCAATTAACCAACGCCACGGGACTGCCACTGTGCCTAAAAATAGATGTGCTCGGAGTCTCACAGTCTCTACTCAGAATATCACATACTTGTTCCTAATGAGCCACTCAATCCCAGAGCTGCGTGATGTGCAGTGTCTGTTAGGGGCTGGGCAGATGGACTATTTTTTTCTCTCTCGCTATAAACAACAATGAAAAAGTTGTCCATTTACGATAAAGGTTCTTGTCAGCTCCACTGCTTACCGGATTTGGGCACTTTATGTGTATAGGATGCATTTAGGCTTATATTATTATGACTCAATCGGTGCCACGCTGAGGTAAAGAGCGTCCGATTATTGTCCTGGGCGTCAAACTTCATGCTGGAAAATGGTGCAGCAGACCGGAGTGCTGCTGCATCTTCCGTAATACAGACCACAGGGGTAATATTGCAGTAGCAGTAGGGGGGTGGAGAGTGTGCCAACGTCATTTCGCAGCATAACAACCGCGGATGACGTCTCTACCAAGTCTCCATAGGGGAGCCAATGGAGGGGAGGAGGTTGCTGGGGGTAATGCCACTCAACGGTGTGCAATCGCCAGCCCTTTCTCTCTTCTGGGTCCTCTCACACTGGGAAAAACAAATGATTTTATTTCTATCCCTGCGATTTCCTGTTTTCCATCAGGACAATCAATATGGCTTATGCTCCCAATCAACATCCTTTTAAAAATGATAAAGACAATCAATGTTTTAATTGCAGTTGTTGGGTTGTGACATGCCATGTAATTTCTTCTGCTTTCTTCATCTACCCACAGTTGATGTGTTTCTATTAGTAGCTTGACATTTATCCTCCCCTTTTCAAACCACATACATGCATATACTGTATCAGACTTTGAATAGCATTTGCTTGGTTGCGCGAGTTATCAAAAAAATAATTCAATCAAACATATCATTAACAAACAATAAAGCAGTAATAACACTTTTTAAAATAGAATCTGTAGTGCACACCAAATCATGTTTTGATTTTCTGATTTCTGTCCTGCAGCTTCACCGCGCCACTCATCTGACAATAACCACTACACAAACAAGCTTCCATTCACAACGACACAGCTCAAAACACCAGGAACAATGTGTGCAGAGGAGCAGGTGAGTGCGCACAGTCATCTAGACCGCCTGTTGGTGCATTAGGCGCTTGCACGACCGCATGTAAGCCTTACATTTATTCGATGAGGACCAGGTGGGGATTATAATAATAATAATAAAAAACAATCCCTCTTTTGACAGTCGCTGATAAGTTGTTCTAAAGCATGAAAGGACAGGCAGCCTAATGCTCTCTTAACTCAGTGAACATGTCAACACAATATAGGGCTGCATCGTCAACAGAACCACCTAAAATCAACATCAAAGGAAGACATAAAGAGATACAATATGAATGACTGACTCTTGCACCTCAGCTCCTAATTCTTTCATTCCTGCAACATGTTTTGTCACGTTTTACCTACTAACACTTCATACCTGCAAATATCAAAAAATGCAACACCTCCTGTACAACTTCTGCAGCGCAAAGTCTGCCAAAGATTCCCTCTTATGATCAATAATACCACTCTTAAAAAAATGCAATTAGAGTTGTCAGCAGTAATGGCTGACACGTGTGGAAGGTCGCTGCCTTCTTCTTGTCTGGGATCTGCTTACAATCTGACACAGTTTCAAAGCACGTTTAGTAATAGATGAGCATCACTGAAGGATTATACCTGGCCTGGTCTGAGCCAGCCCCAGCCTTTGCCACAAAGAGACAGCTCTTCAAACAACTGCTGAGTGATGCGTCCATTTCCAAATAAGTGTCCTTGTTCAGAACAACTTCAGCAAAAGCACAGCCAGATCAGAAATTATTATACACATGTAGGCCTGGTCATATCACAAAGTCACTGCTTTAAGAATATTTCATTTATAAAACATTTACTCAGTTTGACTGTTTAAACTTGAGGCGTATGCAGTACACCTATGCGAACACTAGAGCGCGCAGGAGACCATGAAATATAGCGCCCTATAGTTTCCCTCCACGTTTATCGCAGTGTGCACCCCTCCTGAAGCGAATCTCACCATTATTTGAATAAATATGTAGGTACACACATAGTCTTATTATAAATACATTTTACATTGAACTTGTGGCGTGGTAATTAAAAGTTCTTACACCCCCTGATCAGAAATTGCTGGTGTAAAGAAATTAAATAAACAATCAACCTAAATGATTCAGCTTTCCCACACTCTCAACAGTACTTTGACTAATGCAATGTTACGTTTAAAAGTGGAGATCGTCTTGGGGTACAACCGAGGACTCTGTATGTGGTGTTGGCTAACGTAGCCGCTGTATCTCGGGTTTCCTATAAAGTCTTAATGAGTTCATCAAACTTTTTAGTATTTTCCAAATCAACAACACAACACGGAACACCGTCTCCATTAGTGATGTGGCTCAGTCGGCGCATAGTTGAGATTATCTGTTGGATTTTACGCGCATGGAGTGTCTGATTTCATATATTGGATAGCCTCCACTTCGTTACTTCATAGTAATAATAAACAGTTGCATCGCTGAGGCTGCTTCAAGTCTAATGGCTAAAATCATTGTTATATGAACATTGCATGGAAGCAGGGCCTCGGTGTGTTCTGGAAACCCAATCAACATAATAACTCCGTTTTTTATTAATGAACGGGAGGATAAGGTTACGCGTATCCCTCACAGTCTGTTCGCAGGAGAACACTACTTGATAAGCTACTTTAGCCCCCCTCTCATCTCTCTCGTGTTATCACAGACATCTCCATAATAAAAACAAACATGGGAAGAATAAGTTAAAGCAAACAAACATAAAACATACCTTTTCCTGCCCAAGTCGTAAACGAGACCATTCAAGAGGACAGTGACATCTGGGACGCTTAAGACAAACTCCCTGTTCTAACTTTAAGCGGCGTTTTCCTTTCCCCTTTTCCCCAAGTCAAGCTTCAGGATATCTCTTCTTCGGCAATGGAGCAAATATATTAAATTATTGATGGTGGAAATTGCATGGATGAGGTAATGCACTCCCATGGCTGCGCGGCGCGTTTGGAGATCGTTTAAAGATCGCGTCAAAGTGAAGATGTCGCATGGTGAAAGCAAAGGAAAAACGCCGCACTAGGAGCAGCAGCGGCAGAAGCGGATGACAGACCTGTGAGGCTGAAATGAGGAGCCGTGGCAAACTACAGTAACTTTACTACACACAATGACGCTGCAACATGTGACCTGCCTCTGGCTGACTGGTTGCCATCAAACTCCTGTTTAAACAGCCCCGAGGCGGAACTATTAGCGCCTTTTGTTTGTCCGCCAGCACCTACTTCTCACGTCTGCCAATATATATCCTACATTTAGGCTATATAAAGCACAAAGTCCTCCACTCTGCGCTCCTCTCTTCCGTATTTTTATGCTCAGTGAGTTCAAAGAGGGAGGCTTTTGCGTAACAGCGCGTCTCCAGTCGTGATACACCGTGAGTGGTTTTAGACTTGGCCTATTTGTATAAAATTAGGCGAGCAGGGAACTAAAAACAGCGTGCCTCTGCCTCTAAACAGCACACTCTTTGGAGTGTAATATAACGCAGATGCGTTATATTAAAACAAGCCCTGCTCAGATGCTATGCGTCGTTTTGCGTCAGCATCTAACCCAATTATAGCCCTATATGTGGTTTCCTGGATGTTATTTTAAAGCATCCTTCTATATGGCCGTGTTTAGACCAGAAGTTATTCACTCTAAAGGATACAAGACATGTTTTCAGTAGACTTGGGGAATCTAAAGAGACACTATAGAATGAACACTAGTGATTTCACTTTTGTCTCAAGCACTAATTTCAATCTTCATTCCATCTGAGGTGA